CTGTTGATCTTCGTGTTGTTGGTGAGTCATCATTTCTCATCTTTATTAAGACTCAACTAAACAGAGAAGCATAAAACTACCTTAATGTAGATAATTAGTGGATTTAACATAATGTTAACCAATTTTATTCACATGCTTCCTAGAACGTCCCTCAAAACCAAAGATGTCTCTGGATCATATAAATGATCAATACACGTCTCCTTATTTTAAATGCATCTCTGAGGGTTCTCCAAGGCCCAGTATTGAATGGTCTCGGTAAGACAACTAGTTTCTCTGTTCATATATGCATAGTTTTATCATTTCACTCTCTGACTATCAATGTTTCTTCTCAGTCCATCCTCAAGCGAGAGGAGAAAAGACATTGATGATTGGACAACAGAGAGCTCAGCCACAACTTCAAACTATGCATATAGTGGAGCGATGTGTTGTGCCAAAAATGATGAAGGACAAGAATGCACCCAGCTGTGTGACTTTGGTAATTACGTTAAAAACAGACACATATTAGAAAATGTCTTAACTCAGAGTTAACCTGACCAGAGAAGGAAAACAGCTCTCAGAATTATTCTCAAATTAAATTAGAAAAATATAAATAAACGCATTAAATAACTTGAAGTGTTTTATGTTTCAGACTTAAATACTGCTTCAATGAAACCAGACGAGGTTTCTAGTGTGACCATAAGTCCCGGTCAGCCTTTGGTACTTCGCTGCAGAAAAAATTTAGATTGTAGTACTATATGGGAACATGATGGCAAGGTTTTGGCGGAAACCTGTGCAGAGAATGAGGTACAGTGATGAAAACTGTGATTTTTTTTTTTATTGATATCAAAATACAACCACATTAACCACAGATTTCAGCTCATTTCAAAAACATTGTTCTACATGATTATGATTTCAATGTTTTTCTTCCAGATCTGTATTAAAAAGGACAGACAACAGAAGAGCTGCATGCTGTATGCCTTCATCAGATCAGTTACCTCACAACACAACGGCACATACACCTGCAAAAACTCAGGCGGAAGTAAATCTGTGGATGTTCATGTTACGGGTCAATATCAGTTCTTTACATGAACTATTACTGTTATCTTGTAATAACTACCATTTTATATTTTTAATTAATAATATACATCTGTTGAACATTTTAATTTCTTGTCTCCTCAGCTGAGAGCTTCCTCTCCTCCCAGCTGCCTGATCACTTTGTGATAACTGAGACCAGCTCCTGTTTGGCAGCAAATGTTTCCTACCACCCAGTGCTGCAGCTCTGCTACTGGGAAGCTCCTGATGGGAGTTTCACTAAATGCATCAGAGACAAGACAGCAACAAAGCAAAGGTAGCTTTATAAAGCAATGCCTCATCATCTCAGAATAATCATTTTTCAAAGATAATTATATAATATAAATTTTATCATTAAAATATTTTTAAATTTCCTTTTTTGTTTTTAACATACAGTGACATAATAAAAAGGATTTGGGTTTTTTCAAGAGATATGTTTTTTAAATTAAATAATTTATAATCACCCCCTTTATTTGGCTATGTCTAATCCAAATGCATTATAAGCAGCTGCCTTCAGAGGCCAACAAATTATTTACTAAAGTCCACCAGTGTGTAATCCATCATCAGAATAAATCTGTGATTGTTTAAACATTAATGAACAAACAGCTTCATGAAGATCAAGGAACACAAAAGACAGGCCGGTGAGCAAGTTCTCATGCAGCTTAATGAAAGGTCAAGTCATAGGACCGTTTTGTTTTTTTTTTTATTTTCAAAGTGGAGTGGAGAAGTGCACTACAAATCAGTTATTGTGTTTGTAAAAAAAAATACTACAACAAAATCAAATGCCCTTGTGTTTTCACTTCACAGTTATACAAGTCTTTTTAGTGTTGTGTCACACAAAATCCTAATTAATGCATGAAGGTGTGGGGTTGTATCATGAAGAAGTTTTTCTAGCTAAACTGAATGAACAACAATATTCTGACAACCATCTCGCATGTTAGCAAAAACAGCTCAAAACAACTTGCAACAGGTCAATCTTTGGGCCTGTCCTGTAGCCATAGCGTCAACCCAGAGCTCCTCTGTTTAAAAGTATATTAGACCTTAAAGTGAGATCAGTCTGGTCAGTGGGACACAAGTCCTCTACAATGATGTGAGAAAACATAGTTATTGCTGCTAAAACTGGTTCAACAATCTCTTTAATTATAGGATGTACTTTGTTTTTCACACACAGCTCCCCCACTTTTCATTTTTTATTATCATTGGCTGGAAATATACTGTTAAAGCCTCATAAAGACCAGATATTTTTTTTATGTATCAACCCCAAGAAGGGAAATTGTTCAGCTTTCCTTTTACCATATTAACCTGTTGGACGTGCCACTATTTTCTCAGGACTGTGAAGTATTGTGGACCATTACAGTCTGGAGAGTATAAACTACACCTGGAGGCTGGAGGAAAAACGGAAACAAAGAAAACAATTGTTTGTGTTCTAGGTAGGTATCTTGTGTGTCATTGTTAAAACGCAAATAAATACAGCATCACCTGTAATTTAAAATTTCCCTTCTAGAGAAACAAGAGCCATCATTTAAGAAAACAGATAATTACCTTTATGTTGAGACTGTGAGTGTCTTGCCTGCTAACTCTACATGGATGATGTCAAGTTTATCATCCGGCAACAGGTGAGTAATACGTAGCAGCTCAGCCATGAGAGATCAGCAGGCCTGATTGTTGAAGCTCAGTGATCTTTGTCTGACTGCAGCTCTGAAACAAACCCATCCTGGGAAGTGATTGAGAGTAATAACCACCCAGCTTCTGATGGCTTCTGTAACCAGAAACTCACCGGCAACGTGAGCACAATAAATGTAACGGTTGCAACAAAATTTAAGTTTTGCTTAATGGACCAAGCTGGGTCCAGGTGCAGTGAGGAACGTTATGAGGTTCCAAACCTCAAATTCCAAGCCTCCACAGGTAAGACAAGATCATTCACCCTCGACATTCATTCAATCACGTTGCTATAGCTGACTTCTGTCACGTTTTCACATTTTTAGCTCATCAATCTTATGACGGTCACTTAATAATGCCACTGAGAATCAGCATATTGGCTCTGCTCTTGGCTCTGACAATAATCTAATTTGTGCTCGTGTGCTACATCAAGAGAAAGGTATGTGTTGCACATGGCATCAACACAGACACAAGCAAATCCATAAAAGATACTAAATCATTTTGGTTTTCAACAGAAACCCCAATATCAGCCTCAGCTTCAGATGATCCAGATGGTTGGGCCTAACGACAACGACCTGTACGGATCTGAAAGAAGTTCCTGGAGAAGAAAAATTCCTCAATAGTGCTGTAAAATTTTAGTTGTTTGCCTAAATAAAAATATGACCTTTTTATTTCTACAATGATGTACTGTTTTGTACTAAAATATTGGAATCCCAATAAAATACATTAAGGCTTGTAATTTGAACTTGAGAAAACATTGAAGTTTACAGATGAATAGTTGTGTAAGGCCCTATCGTAGACGATGTCCTGTTCTTTGCTTTACAGCCGCTAGGTGTCGCCAGACATCAGATGTTTGCCAGTTGAATGTCCAGCAGTGCGTTAACCTGTTTTCAAAAGTGTTGTCCGAAGGTCATTAAACACTACCCGTTCAACCAAAAAACTGTTCCCATGGACATTTCGGCAGTAAATGCTCTTCCTTATGAAGATTTTGTAAATATTTTCGGTAATGTAGTGGAGAAATGTCCTCTTATAACAGCCGCTGTTTGGACCCGTCGTCCCTTTACGAGCTTAAATGCTTTAGAAGCTGCGATTCATGAATTCATCGATGCTCTCCCAGAGTCGGGTGAGGTTAAAGGATTTTCGCTGTTTCACGCATCTTGTACTTTTATTTATTACATCCATTCTGGGAGCAGTATAATGAATCACCAGTTGTGTTCAGGTAAAGAGGGGATCCTCAGGTGTCACCCGGACCTCGCGGGCAAGCATCTCCACAGCGGTGCATTGACCCGGGAGTCCCAGGAAGAGCAGACCCGAGCCGGGATGGACGTGCTGAGCTCGGCGGAGGCCTCGCAGATGACGCGGCTGAACGAGGAGTACAAGGGGCGTTTCGGATTCCCGTTTGTCATCTGCGCGCGGATGAATGACAAGGTGACCATCTTGCGCGAGCTCTCTGAGCGCTGCCAGAACGAGCGCGCGGCGGAAAGGGCGCGTGGCATTGGGGAGGTGAAGAAGATCTGCCGCCTGCGTCTCCAAGGTCTGGTGCTCTCTGACGCAACAAACAAGTTATAAAGCCTAGACCTCTGTTCCAGTGTAACCACATTTAACAGGGAGCTGCAATACTTGTATATGTTTTTATTTCAAAGTTAGCATATACACTTTTAAACAGTGTAATTAATAAAGCATGTGATTTAAACTTGTATACACAGGTGGATGCTGATATGGAATGTACACAATAGTAAAACCTGTTGCCTACTTGTTTTCTGTCCGAAATGTAACTTTGAATTGACTTGTGCATTGATTGATTGATTGACTCATTGATTGATTGATTGATTGATTGACTCATTGATTGATTGATTGATTTCTGCTCCCTGGATGAATGGCGCCCTGGGCAGTGAGCCACATTTCCTATGTAAAAAAAAAAAAAAAAAAAAAACACTGGAATGTATGAGGGGATCTTGACAGGTCCTTTAACTAGCTGTAAGAACAGCTTAATCTTTGTGCAACAAAAAATATATATATTTCCTATATAATCCAATTAAGAGGAGTGCTCTCCACGTCTATGCTGGTTCTCTGGACCCCGACGCGGACAACGTGTGGCCATGCAGTGGGGAAAGAGGGGGCGTGCTGGTGTGAGGTCCATTCGAGGAAGACACCCCTGCCCCCGCAGTCTCTCCCTGATCCCCAGAGGTGATGGAAGAGTCCTGGTCCGGCTCAGACCCCCTGGCCCTCCTCCGGTCCTCCTCCTTCTTCCACTTCATGCGTCGGTTCTGGAACCAGATCTTGATGTGGCGCTCGGTGAGGCTCAGGGTCAGCGCCAGCTCCACGCGTCGCGGCCTCGAGATGTAGCGGTTGAAGAGGAACTCCTTCTCGAGCTCCAGCAGCTGGGCGCGCGTGTACGCGGTCCGCGTGCGCTTGTTTTCCTCTGCCTCGGTCATCACGTAAGACCCTGGAAAACAAAATAAGTCTTTTATATGATGTAATTCTGTTTTTTTATTCTTTAAGACACTTTAATAAACTTTTTTTTTTATTGGGATTGTGGTAAAACTTAGAGCAGAGCCAAATAACTGATGATAAATTCAGAAAGTTGGTCATGCAACAGAAACAAAACAATAAATTTATTATTTATGTCCAGGCCAAATGACATCTAATTTATTCAAAACTAGTTCAATTGAAAATGGGAACTATTGTGACATCTTGATAATTTAAGCTGTATTTTTTTTAGTTCCGTTTATTTGTACTAACCTAAATCAAAGTGATTATTTAATAGTTTTTTTTTCCTCTTCCTGTTTCTATGTAAAAAGCACTTTTTCTGCTCTTTTTGACTCAAATAACCATCCATCCATCCATCCATCCATTTTCTGAACACCCTTGTCCCTCAGTGGGGTCGGGAGGGGTGCTGGTGCCTATCTCCAGCTAACGTTCCGGGCGAGAGGCGGGGTACATCCTGGACAGGTCGCCAGTCTGTCGCAGGGCAACACAGACCTCAAATAACCAATGAGTCAAAAATATATTTTATACATAACCAAAGTTATTGTTAAGAACTAAGGAATCAAACGTGCATTTATTTAACCATCTTAATTATGGGTAGTTTGTAAGTTTAATTAAAATAAAAAAAACAGTTTCTGTTAATATATATTAAAAAACTTTTCTAATATATATATATATATATATATATATATATATATATATATATATATATATATATATATATATATATATATATATATATATATATATATTTGTTGTTTTTTTTTATTTAACCCAAATAAAATTATATAAGTAATATATATAACTTTCAAAATAATGTAAAATCCATGATGGGTGAAAAAAGCGTTTGTGCAGAAGTCATATCATGTTTTGGCAGCATTTATATATCAGCCTTAAGATGACACACCACATTAATAATCTATTTATAAATTTTTAATGGATATAATTTCCTTAAAAGTTATAATCTTGCTACAGGTTTAAGTTTCAGAATCTACGCGCTGCAGTATCAAGTTGTGGCACTATAGCAAGCGCTGACCTTTTATTCCAAATGCAGTAAATTCAAGCCCTTTTCTAAGAGATGTCAATAAAGGCCCCCGAAAGTCAAATAGAGCTCAGATTTATTACTTGATTCCGCATTGTGGGTCCTTAAAAAAAATCATACACATTTATTTTCTTTCCTCGATTTATGTGCGGGTTTTCTGTACCTGTCCATTGGCCCTTCCAGGTGTGCGAGTGGGATTTGGTGGTCTTCATCCAGGGAAAAGGGAGGTGATATCTGTTCTGCTCTCCTGCGTCTATATAACTCGGAGGATGGAGTGTTGGCTGCTGCTGGAGGTCCTGCGGGTGGTGGAGCGGTGGCACGCCCGGATCCTCCCGCATGCCGGGCATGGTGAAAGCGGCAGGAGCGATGTCGGGAAGGCTGGCCTGCTCCAGGGTCCCCAGGGACGGCGGCGTGTACACGGAGTGCACCTGCCTGCTCATGTAGAGGCAGGGCGGCGGACTGTAGTCATCTCTCAGGGATCTCTGGTAGGCGCAGGAGTCTTTAAAAACCTGAGAGGGATAGAAGGGGTCTTCCCGATTCATGGTTGGAGAGGACCCGAGGCTGAGTACCTGCGATCCTGCCTCGGCGTGGACCTTCAGCTCTTACGCACCTGTGGCGCAACTGCAAGGCCGCCGCGGGCTCCGCACAGGTGTGTCCCTCTGACACCATGTGACCCTGCGGCGCACCAAGCCATTGGTTTCACTGTTTGCACAAAACGGGAGAGCTGCAGCGGCCGGTTTCCAGGAGATTCTGAGCAGAGCGCGTAAATCAGTGCCGCTCTGCAAATACAACAACGTTCACCTGCATCCACCTGTTTATTTCCCCCCAGACAAGAGGGCGAGTGAAAATGTGCCAGGGGCAATTGTCAGAACAGAAAAACACCTTTTAGGCCTACATGCGTGCAGTTTAGATTTCGGTCACCAAGATTTAGTGACCGAAATCTTGGGTGCATTGAAGCTCTCTTCCCAGCAAATGAATTTCTTCACTTAAACTGGAAGTCTTTTTATGCAATTCAGCCAAAAATGGCTGTGATATCTACTGTCCCGGATAACTTAGCTAACTATAAGGTCATAGAAATTATGTTAGCAAGTTATTTTGTGGAAGGGCTTAGTTCATTTTTCACTAACCGCCATTAACTTTGTAAATTCGTTGTGTTTCATTTGATTCTTTCTTCATAGCGATCGAGACTAAATGCAAATTGTAAAAATCGAAGCAGTAAAGTATAGACAAAAGGTCACTGAGTCTCAAAGCTTTTTCCAATCACTGAAATGTTGCTTCAGTGATTTTATTCTTTAAAAATATTACAAAGAATCATTACATATATATATTGTTTGTATCTGGAGAATGTTAAGTTCCTGTGGGTACTTTACGGGAACACCTCAAACATGCTGCTTCCAGATGGCAGCAAAAATAGAAATCAGGCAAGACATTATGGTTGATACCCATCTAGCACAACTCAGAGATAACAGCCTTACTTTGTGAGAAATGTCTTAGGGGCTGATGGAAATAAAACTGAAGTGTTTGGGCATTCGGTAGTTAAAAGAGGACAACTGGAATCTGGAGAACACCGTTCCAGCTGTGAAGCACGAGGGAGGTGGCATTATGTTGTGTGTTTTACAAAGAGTACTAATAATCACAAAATGTGATAGAGTATGGGTTCAATAACTGAATAACTGATTTTTCTGCTAGGTTTTGACATGATAAAATGTAATTAAGGTTATTTTAAAGAAACCAAAGTCAGCTAAACAACTGGTTTATTAGAGGACTATAAACCAGTTGGCCATAAGTGAAAACAAAAGCCTCCCTCAACCTTTTAATATAATTGTAGCAAATCACTCAGCATAATAAACAAATATATCAAAATTCAATGAATACTATTGGAAACTATTTTTTTTTACCAGATAATTAATAGAATTAAATTTCTATAACCTTTTGCAAGAAAAGTTGTTGTTATGAAATGAATTATATTAATTTATTTGGAAAAGGAGTGGAGGAAGGGTGCTTCTTCAGAGCTCTCTTCTGCATGGGATTAATCCAGATGTCAAACTCTGAAATCAGGGAGATTTTCAGGGCGGCGGAATATCATTAACTCCTGATCTTATGCTGTTTATATCTTGTCCATCCATCTGTCATTTTATTGTCCCACAGATTTACAGGCATGGAAAGTGGTCACTCTCTGCTATCACAGTTCCCCATCTCACCTCTCTATACTTAAGTCTCATCATCCCTCCTGTCGCCCCCTTAAAATTGCTTGGAAAGTTATCTAAAATGCATTCAAGGCACATCATGCTTCATAAACCACATAGTGGAGAATAGCCTGAGTTAACAGTTTCCTTCCTCTTTGCAACAATGATCAAATATAAATACCATTAAGCCATAATGCAGGTGGGTGTTATGTATAGAACTGGTTTACTTGAACTTTATTGCACCGCAGAGTGCCCCCATTAAGATACCGTGGAAAGTGCCATAATTGCATTTGAAGATCTCATTGCAAATAGTCCATTGATGCTGCACACACCATCAGAGTCGAAGGAGGTTCATTCAGGAAGGTTCTGCGTGTAAATGAACGCGTCTTATAGTCGTTGCGACGTCGCGGGTTTGAAGTCCGCAGCTTGCGGAGTCACGCTCCAGACACTCTGCGGTTAATTGAGTTCAGTCGCTCTCTCCAGCTTAATTGGCTTGCCGCGAGCGCCGATGTTTAATGAGGCGGACTCTCACGCGCGCACGCAGGGCCGCGAGAGGCTAATGGCTAGCAAACACGGCGAGAGTGCGGCGGCCGCAGCAGCCCTGTTTGTTGTCGCCAAGGGCTCTTGTCCGTGTGGAGCTGCTGGGTGAAAATGGTGTTAAATGATGCATCTAGAAAAGTGTAATGGATACATGTTGAACGCCAGACAGGGGTGACAAAACGGTGGTGGAAAATAGGACATCCCCGTGTCCGAGCTTTCCACTGCCCGTTTCCAAGACAACTGCGGCTGCTTTCCCAGGTCCCTTTATCTCGCAGGTCAAGCAATGTTTGCACCCATACATGCTTACTGTGCAGACAGGAGAGATATACAGATTAATTAGAGTATCACTGAAAAGTTCCTTTATGTCACTATTAAGTAAAGTTCAAAAAGTGATGCTTTAGATTTTTTCCACCTGTGTGGTTTTATTTTAAGCATTTATTTTCTGTTAAATTAGAAGATTACAGGTTACAGCTAATGACAAACCAAAATCAAGTTTTTTTTTCTGAAAATTAGAATGTTATGTCCTACAAAATTACGTGGAAAACTGCTTTCTGCATCAGCTGACTCTATTTGATGTCTTCAAGGAGTGTAAGTTATGGTCACTGCTAAAGAACCTGACTGTTCACGGAGTTCTGTATCCAACCATATAAAAAGGGAGGTTTAGTGAAAGTAAAAGGTGTAGGGGGAAAAAAAAGCAACAGCAATAACCGAAGCCTGCAGCTTGAGTCTGAGTTTTAAGAGTCACCACACTGGGGTATTTCAGGGTGATAATTGTTGCATTCTTTGTTGTTAAATCTACTCTAGGACAGAATCATCTGTAGGATTTTGCGGAGCCATTTCACCCGCCATTTGTGTATTATCAAGTCTAAGCCACTTTACATGATTCATGCCTGTGCAGATACAATTTATGGAGATGCTGATTTAATTTTTCAGCAGAACTTGGTGCGTGTCCACACTGTAAAAAGTACTACATCTGCTTTAATAACCATGGTGTCATTGTTCAAAAATATTTCCTGACCTAAAATCCAAAGAGAATCCATGGAGTATTGCTGAGATGACGATGAGAGTCATGAGAACCAACAATGCAGGCGGGCTGATGGCAGCCTGGGCTTCCTTAACACATCAATAGAGCCACATGTTGATCGTCTCCATGGTGAAAAGCACATAAACATATATTTCAGTAGATGGCAAAAGACTTGGGATTGGGGCCGAGGTCTTCCAGATGGACACAACTCTACACCACACACTGCGATGTTCAAGAAACAAGGCTGAGATTATTTGAGCTATGGTGTTTTAGAAATAAGGCAAATCTGAGATCACTTGGACCAGAGAGTAAAGGTGTGTCAGGAAAACATGTTCTTTTTTTATCTGCTTTAGCAAACAAAACACTTCCAGATAGCCTGACAAAAACTTGGACATGCGATAAAACTGAGCTTACCCTGTGGCGACAGCAGCCTGGGCTGTGTCAACACCATGACGTGTGAATAGCGGCTGAAGAATAGTAATGGCATTATAATGGAGGTTTGGTGAAACACAGCTAGACCCGAGCGTGAGTCAAGTGAGAAGGGAGGAGGAGAAAATGTTTGCTGAAGAGAGATTTCCGGGGAGATGCCAACGTAACGGCAGCTTGAGCTTTTTATTAGGTCACATTTTAGTGAAGAAGAACCAAAAAGAACAATAAATACACATTAATCTCACCAAAATCTTGAATAAAAAATAATCAGTAAAACACACTTTACTTTTTAAACCTAAATCATGTCTGATAAATCGCAACCTTCTACATCACACTAGTTCTGAAAGCCTGAGATGGTTCTGAGTGTGGAGACCCGCCACCTCTCCCCAGACAGAGCCAGTTCGCTTATGAAGTCTGTGTCCGTCTGCTTCTGCCTCCATTTCGTCCATCGTCGTGTCTTTTGTCTCTGTCGTCTCTGTGCCTGCGCTGCTGCTCCTTATCTCTGTCCAGCCGCTTATCTTGACTCGTGCGGCCGTCCCTTCGAGGAGGAGAAGGAGAGCGTTTACGGTCTGTGCGCCCTCCGTTACTCCTGCGATCCGTTGGCGGCGATCTGCTGCGGTCATGGCGTCTGTCCGGGGACTCGCTCCTCACGCGTCCTCTCGTGTTGCTGGAGTGGCTAGTTCTGGACACGTCGGAGTGGCGCTGCAGGTCTGTGGAGCGAAGCGTGTTGAGGAGAAAACGTTTGTTGGTGCCCTGCAGGGGGCATTTCAACCTGTTAGGGGAACACAGAGGGTCAATCCAGCCATCAGAACGTCACTCAGAGGAGGAGATGGATGTGATATAAAGGAGTCAGATGATCATAACTCACAAGGCACCAGGGATAGACTTTGCCTTTAGATGTTTTCATTCTGCCTTTTGCCATGTTACAATCACAGACTCTCATAGTATGTTACTGGGATTTGTTTTTTTACCCTAACACAAACTATAAGATAATTTGAAAAAAGAAAAAAGAAAGATAAAGATACTAAAACATTTTACAAGTAAAAATCTGAAAGGTGTGGCATGAACATGTCTTCAGCCCCCTTTCCTTTAGATATGTTCAACCAACAATTTCAGTATAACCCAGTTCTTTTATGAAGGCTTCAGAGGTTTGTTTGAAAACAAATAGCATCAGGGAGATCAAGGAACAGAAGACGGGTTTAAAGACGTATTGGGATATAAAGTAGGGACGCACGACATATCGGCATGTATATCGGTATCGTCTGCTGTCATTTTTAACATATTGCTACTGGCCTGATGAGTAAAACTAGGCAGATATCAACAACCATTGTTTATTTATATCTTAATAGGATTTGTGTATGTGTTTCAAGAGGGTCATATGGCAGTTTTACTGATGCAGTTCAGGATTATGGGGTGTTTAACTGAAGCAGAGAGGCAAAGAAGGCAGCGCAGTTGATATGGCGCCGAAGATGTATTGAAATAAATATGTATGATATTGTTAAATTACATAAGTATTAATATCGCATAACAATATTGGCCCAAATTTTCATCCCCAACATAAAGCAACATCCCAAACTAATAATTCTTCAATCTATTAATTTAAAATGCTCAACATATGGCACAAGAAAACCTGTTGGTCGTAAAATCTTACTAAAACAGGCTAAAATTTCCACATTTGGAAGAGCATAGTGAGTTTGGACACTTTAGTGAGAGAAGGGGAACTAGAAAGTTTAACTGTAACTAAAAAACATATACCTCTTTAAAGAACACCAGAAATACATTCAACACAAGAATCCGAGCT